GAAGAAGGTAGTTTGTTTTCACTCTTGCCTGATTAGCTGCTGATCCTTAGAATAATGACAAACAACATACTGACCCTGTATTGAATGAGGCTGGTCGTCATCCCAGTACCAAGTCACTGCTTCCCCCGCATGAATGGTTGTGGAATAAGTCACATTCCTCCGCCACGGCAGCATCACTCCTCGCAAGTCTGCAGAAACAACAGGGGTAGTGAGCTCATTGACAGCAATTGCAAAAGGAAGGAAGGGAGGGAGGGAAGGAGGGAGGGAGGGAAGGAAGGAAGGAAGGAAGGAAGGAAGGAAGGAAGGAAGGAAGGAAGGAAGGAAGGAAGGATGGAACGCCCTCCCGCCCTACCAACGAGCCTTGCTCAGTTGGTACACCCATGAACTGTAGAAATACCAAAGAAGAATAGACCCTATAAACCAGCAACCAATCCAGAGTTCAATTCGCATGAATGGACGTGGAATGCACCAATTTCTTCATCATGACAATTCCATTGTATCTCCATCAGCAATCACAGCAGAAAAGATCGCAAAAGAAACGACCAAATCAAGCATGGAAGACTTCCTTTTAACTGCTTCAGAGAGATATCAGTAAAACACTTATCCCGTCCTTTGGGACATCCATTAAAATTGGAATGATACAAAGCAGGCAAGCATCTCCAAAACTTAAATCTGGATCAGGCAGCAGAGCAGCTGAGAGGAGCAAGCAGACCAAGCCACAATATGCAAATCACACACCCCATTCAGAGTGCTTAGAGGTCGGCTTACCCACAGTACTCAGAACCTAAGTCAAGCAGGCTAACTTAGGCAGGGGTGAGGGGTGGTACATCCTTCCCAAAGGAAGTAATCAATGCCGTCCACTCGGACCTCCCAACCGGAATGGGGGGGAGCGTGTGTGTGTGACTATTGTATTCATCTTTGACTTGCTGGGGGAATAGGAACCGGACTGTTGCTCCCCAGGATGGCAGGAGCCAGAACCGAGAGGTTCTGTTAAAAAAATATATATATATATTTGACGATATATATATAGAAACTCCGACGAAACAGTTTGTCACAGCCCCTCGTTTGTTTACCGGGCAGTTCTATTTGACGATATATATAAAATAATAATAATAATAATAGATAATTGGAATGATACAGAGAAGATAGATTAGCAAGGGCCCTGCGCAAGGATGACATGCATAAATCAAGAAATGGACCCTTTTTTTTTTTTTTTTTAAATGGACCAAATTCTTATTTAATTATATAGTATATACACAAAAAGTACAATATTTATTCTTCCCTTCGTCAAGATTTGTAAGGACAAGTTCCACTTCAAAGTTTAAACCACCAGTACCTATGAGCCTCTTCTTTCCAATGCGCAACTTTACCCCAGCCCAAAGTCTCACAGGGTGTGGCTCTGCCTGGCGCCACCAGCCTCTTTTTATTTTAATTTTAACAAGTGGACCCCGTGGCGCACAGCAACACTCGCTGATACCCTCTCTCTCTCTCTCTCTCTCTCTCTCTCTCTCTCTCTCTCTCTCTCTCTCTCT